ATGTCCAATGAGTATCGGTACTAATACCAATAATATGAACATTTAAATCTTTAAATAATTTATTATATTTTTCATTGATACTATTTAAAACCTGAAAAACAATAAATTTTATTATTAATTTCATTTCATTTTATTGTTCAAAAATAAGAATAGAAAGTTAATTAATAATATAAATAAATTCATCGAAAAGAAATTAAATCAATAGAATTGACAATAGAATTATTTTTCAATTAATATATCTATATATATCTTTACTATTATTTTCTTACTTTATTTTCATGCTTAGTAAATGCACATGGAAAAAAAACAAGTAGAACAGGTGATTTTTCTGTTGCAGTAAATAATGAAAATCTCGTACTTTCCGTTGTCCATAAATGTATATTTTTAGCTACATCTCCAGCTTGAACTATTTTTGACATCGAAATAATAATAAACAATCAAATCATATACAAATAAATAATATTAAATTAAATTCGCGCCATAATCCTTTGTTTGTGTTTTATAAATCAAACAAGTATCTCATATATAGTGTGGCTTCCAAAATTATTTGATCAGATTTATTTTCGACTTTTTTTCACTGTCATCAATGCTAATAAGAAGTCAAATAATAATTTATGTAAAGAATTTTATTTCGAAATGGAAATAGTTGTTAATTTTTCAAGGATGAGATCTCTAAAAAAAAGCAAAAATCCAAGTTTTTCATCTACTAGAACTCTGTTTGGAGGATCTAGAATGATAAAGTAAACAATTCTTCATAAGCTGAAACGTCTTCCAGTCCTCTACAGTGTTTTTTGTGGCCGAGCTACATTAATCTTACGAAAGGCATTAAAAAATTATGCTTCTATACAAAATAGCAGAAACAATTGCTCTATTATTCTGAGTAATTGAAACAGAATCCTCATAGATTTATCTTTGACACTTCTTGTTCGAATTAATATTCTCTAGACAAAATCACTATTTGGATTCGTATTAGCCTTTATGGCAGTGGAAAAGAATTAAAAATCAAACTTAATCGAATATTTTTGAAAGCCATTGTATATATTCTATATTATATCAAGCGATTTTGAAAGAAAAATACTTGAATAAAAACAATATAAGAGTAAAAAAAAAAATCATATTAATACATTGGAATTTAATTTAACAAATTACAATTTCCGACTTTTTCTATGTCCATTAATTTATATCCATGAATTAGATTATGTTATCGGATAAAATTGATTTTTTGATTTCCTAACTGTTAATATTCGTTTAAGCAATAAATAGTTAGATTAAGGTCATCAGTAGATACGAATAAAACAGTCTCGATTCTGGCGAGACTCGAACCAATACTTGTTCAAAGAGAATAATATCTTTTATGGTCGTGTAAAAGTTGTGTCAATTGTAATATAGCCATAACTCATCTATTCTAAAATTTTACATCAAAGTTATTGAGAAACACGATCATTTCAATATTTGCTGTTACAATTTCAATAATAAATTTAATCCTTTTACTTTTTCATAAACAACAGAATTTTCGAACACATAACTTCACAGAATAGACGCGAAGTATGAGTGAATTTTACAAAGTAATGAATCTTCAAGAAGAAATATATTAGAGGTCGTGCAAGATGTCTCAAGCTCATTGACAATGCTTGAAAATGATATTGCATTTTTGTATTGCAAGGTGCGAAACCAAGACGAAAACATTTTTTTGACCACAGCCAAAAACGATTGATTCTGCTCATCACTAGTTGTAAGTGACGTCTTTAAAACGGATAATAATCTTAGTAACCAAAAAAGATGGAATATTACTATTTGTAAAATTAAACTCAATCACATCGATATGATTCATTTGTTTCATCTTAAAGCATTTTTGAGTTTATTAGGACCTGAAAAAAAAAAAAGAGATAAGAAGGAAACCATATATTGATATAGGCACTCAATTGTTTTAAATCGCTAATCCTACTTTATACATATTTATGTGTATATATATTTAATTCGATATGTTAAAAAAGCATTTTGTTGTTTTTCAGGGTGGAAAAAAAACGAAGGGTCGAAAATGCTATCTGATAGTCTGTCAATTATAATTGCATATTAAAAATACCTCTACCGACTGGGTTTTACTTTGCTTCACCTGATTCTTATATCATATTTCGCACATGATATTTTCTTTTTGACAAAATAAAAGAGAGAATAACCGAATCGCATATATATTCATTCGTTGATTTTGTCGTTAGACATATTTTCTTCATTTTAATGACTTTTTTATATTACAAAAAAAAAAAAGAAACTATTAACACTCGATATAAGTATCACACCTATTGATACATTGTTCGTCAAAACATGTTTGAATTTTAGAAATTAAAAAAAATAAATTTATCAGAGGCTTGTGTTCAGTTTATTTAGTAATATTATATGAAAATCTATAACAAGGAGTTATGATAACAATGAAACTAAAAAATTATTCATTTATGTTTCATCAAAATGTTGAGTTATAAATATGGACATGTGACTTGATGACATATATATATGTATTATAGAAGGAAAAAAATGTTCTTTTTTCTTTTGTACTTATAAGGAATTGATCAAGTTATATGGTAAATCGAAATTTTAACAAATACTTGAATATTTATTTGAAGCAAATAGAGTTGTTTTTGTATAGCTTTACTTTCTTATCGATGAATTTATGTTTGAATAAGAATCGATTATATTAGATAATTATTATATGATCATAATCAATAGAAAGAAAATTATCTAATATCAAATAATTATTTAACATCAATATCATAAGTTTTTATTCCAACTGAAATAATAATAAATTCGTAGTTAAAAATATAAGTCAAAGATTTTTGTCTTTTTATTTAAAATTTCATATCATAAAGCATTAAAAATAGATTTATTATAGCAGAATTTGCTTGTGTTCTATCAATAAGAGATCATCAACCAGTCGAGAGTTCCCTCTATCGTCATAAAGAAATAAAGATATGATAAAGAAAGCGAGACCTACGATAGAGCATCATGGTATAATTCATGACGCATCTACTATATAAATTACTAATGTGTATTCGTCATCTTGTCCGTCTAGCCACAGCTTGAAGACAATGAGAATAAGTGCATAAAAAAAAGAAACCGTGCATTTTCTTTTCTTCTTCGTTCATTATTGAGATTATTATTGTTGATATTGGTTGCTACTGTGGCTTACACTAGTTGCTGTTGTTTCCTTTACTATTATTTTTTTCAACGTCAATTTATATAAATTAATGTTTGGTATTGGCAACAGCAGTAGTGACGTTTTTCACGTTACTCTACATATATTTTGTTATCTACTTATTGGTGGTTGGGCGTTCCTTGCTACATTCCATCTACTTGGTATTATTTATGGGTAAGAAAATGTTTAACAGAAGAATGTTCACTTTTATCGTAGAAATTTTCCCTTCATGTACTGTATATGTTTAATAAAATCAATCCATATACGTATGTGATTAACATAAATCGTCATCTATTTAACATAATTATCGGAGGATGTATTCAAGCATGACATTTACCTATCTTTACCGATTGAATATTGGTTGCAAACGAAAAAAAAAAGAAAAAGAAAAAGCACCTATATGAAAGAGGATTACAAAATGAAAGAAAAAAAGACAAAAAAATCTTTTTTTTTTTTTCAGTGAACACGTATTCATATAACTCTTTCATTTACATGTAAAATAATATAGTTGTATGCATGAAGAGACAATCATGATTAAGGGTTGCATTCTAACTTTATATCAAAATTAACATTTAAAGTATCACTTTCAATAGTTAATTGTAGCATACTTTAGGTTGAAGTGTCACTAGTAGAAATAATGTCTATCTTATTATATTTTTGCCTTTATTAATTGATGATCATATACATAAATGTGAATCATAACAGGATGCAAACGACTGTCAATTTATCTTAGTTAACTTAATTTTTTTTTGTGAATGAATAATATCGATTGAGATTCACAGAAGGATAAAATGATTGCTCGACTGTATAAGTGTATTATTCTCAAAATAAATTTAGTAATAATGACAAGAAGACAAATGTCCCCCCAAAAAAAACAAATTGTGTCTACATCCTTTTATTGTTGTTTTTATTTAATATAATCAAGAAAAAAAACATGTTGACTGTAATTGACTGCGTTGACCGCAAAATAAAAAGCTCTTGAGATTTTAATAATAAGAATTTCCTATGGGAAATTTCATTCTATGATTAGCATACATATTTCATTCGTAAATGATAATATTACTACTGAATTTCTTAAAGAAAAGAAGAAAAAAAGATGTTTTGATACTATTAAATTTCGATATTCTATAACTAGAAGAGGTTTTTTTTTTTCTTCAAGAATCTTGTTATTCTCGATATCAAAAGAAAAAAATGATGATACCTTTCGTAATAAATGAACTAAAAATATATATTTCTCTTTGACATACTTTAATAAGAGAGTCTGGAGAAAGTTTTTTTCAAGTTGCCCATACTCGATAATAGTTAATGTTGTCTTGTGTTCGTCGGTAACAACAACATTCAACAAGTAGATTGTTTTTAATTTTAATTAAAACTGCAATAGAAATATAGAAAGCAAGAGTGTTGTCATGGCTAATTTCTTTATTTCCTTACTCCTTTTTGTTTCACGCTAGGCAATTGAAGTAACAGTGCTGCGTTACCTTATTCTGTTCTTTTTCTGTTCCTGTATTTTTTTTCCTTGTTTCTTTCTGCTGATTATTAAAGAAATCGTTGCTTTCTCTTTCTCTTTCTGTTATTACTCCGTTCTGTTGCTCAGTTTTGTGTTCGCTATCGCCTTCATTATTACTCAAGCATTCATTCATTCATTCTTTCGTGTGTATCATCACTTTCTTTCTCCCTCTCTCTCTCTCTCTCTCTCTTGTTCTTCGTTATACGCCTCCGTACTCGTAAAAAACAGGAGCAAATAGACAAGTAAAATGTAAGGTGCTGATGACAAACTATAATCGAGTATCATCTGTTACAATTATTGTTGGTCATGTTCTTCCTTCATATTTTGTACACAATTGCCCTTGCTATCAGTCTTGTTTTGGCTATATTAGTCATAATTTTGGTATGGCTATTTCATCTTAGTGGAATGAGTTACGGGTAAGAATTCATCCTTTATTCATCTGAAATTTTCTTGTAATGCAAGTCAATTCATATTAGTAGTATATTTCTAAAATAATCATTACAATTATTTCACGACGTAAATAAAAAAAAAAAAAAAAACAATTAAATTATTTTTTTTTCCACTTTAGATGGTACATTTTGATAATATTTTTATTGGTGAAAAGGTTATTGGTAGGCTTTTTCCTCGTGTTTTTGCTAAATTACTACGTAAAGAAATACAAAAGAAGATAAAACATTGTTCCTTTTTTTTTTTTTTATCGATCACGATTTGTTGACCGACTGCTTCCGTTCAGCGTTAAAAACGAATGTTTCTATTCCTTTCTTACTGTATACGCATATATGTATACCTATCGATCTTATACACATGAATGAATTGATAGATTCGTAAGACATGAATAGATATGACATGGCCATATATTGTCAATGATAATAACTTGGCCTCATCTGTACATCTTTTTTGTTCGGCTCTATGGGAATATCCTTGACTATTACAATAATTTGTAAAGAAATCCACAAAATATAAAAAAAAAAAAACAATGATGAATCGGTCGGGTCACACACTATATAAAGATGTATGTTATTGACGTATGCACATTTTCATACTACATCATATCCTGGTGTTTGCGTTGTGTGTTAAAGAATAATAAAGAGGCTTAATATGAAGGGAAAAAAAAAACATTAATTGGTATTTTTCATTCTTTTTTCACGAAAGACGGAAAAGAGAAAAATAACTAGACAGCAACATTATAGCTAAAATACGAAAACCAACAATATATATAGATTATTCAACAATGTCAATGACAATCAATTTAAATTCTCTACACAACAGTTACACATGCTGTTCAGACAACTTGATTGATCATTGTTTTTTCTTTATTATTGATAGAAAAAAAAACATAAGATAAGATAAGTGAGAGAATATTCTAATCAAAATCAGAAATAATAGTTTAATAAAATAATCATGTTTATTCAACTAAAGATTTCTTGTTTTTTTTTTTTTTATTATTTAGTTTATATAAATTCCATCGGAAGCCATCACATAGTAATCTCAAAGAAATACCAGGCGTTTCCATAATTAAGCCATTAACAGGAATCGATGCAAATTTATATGAAAATTTAAAAACATTTTTCAATCTTCAATATCCTCGTGTATGTTTATCATATTAAATTATTTTATAGTTTCATGTGTTTTCTTTTTTTTTGTTTTTTAAAATAGTATGAAATTCTTTTTTGTGTACAAGAACACGACAATGAATTAATTGATATGATCGAAAGACTTCGAGAAGAATATCCAGATGTTGACTCGCAATTATTTGTTGGTAAGTACATTTAAAAGAAAAAAGAAAAACAAAATTACTAATTCATTCTCTATTAAATAAATATTTAAAAAAAATAAAATTAATAGCAGGAACTCAATTATCTGCTGTAAAACAGGAGATCGAGCTTGACGAAGAACAGACATATGACAATATACCATTGGTAACAACTATTAGGGATGAAAAACTACGACGAAAACAAATTTCTTTATGGAAAAAACTTCTATGCTGTGGTATATATTTTTCTTTCTAATCTTTCTATTCCATGCTTATATGCATGAAAATCATAAACAGATTATTTATTCTATAAAAAAAATAAGATTTATATTAATAATGATTATAACAAAGAAAAAATTAGCTCTTTATCAATATGCTAATTAACATTTTATTTAATTATTTATTTGTTTTTCTTGAAAATTGATTGTTTATTTTTCATTTTTCGAATAGGCTCACAAAAAATTTCATCCGGTGATAAATTATTAAAAAATGGTACAATGGACATTAAAAATCCGAAAATATATAATATGTTACCTGCTTATGAAAAAGCTCAATATCCATATATATTAATATCAGATAGTGGTTTGATGATGCATGAACATACATTATATGATATGGTTATGTGTATGACTGACAATGTTGGCCTTGTTCATCAAATGCCATTTACATGTGATAGAAAAGGCTTTGCTGCATCTGTTGAAAAGGTTTGTCTAATAGATCCAAAATTAAATTAAATTCTATCATTATTTATTCGAGAATAACACAACCATAATAGAATCTTTGTCTATAAATATTCAATAACAAATACCAAAAAAAAAAACAACAAAGAAACAAATTATTTTATATATATTTCACAAAAAAAGACAAATATGTACTTTTTTTTAATGAAAACAATTTAAAATTGAATTATAAGTAATAGAAAGTTAATATCTTAGTTTTTTTTTTTTTATATTTAAGGTTTATTTCGGTACACAACATGCTCGTATGTATATGACAATCAATTTAATTGGTATAAATTGTGTTACTGGAATGTCATGTTTAATACGTAAAGAATGTATTGAACGCGTTGGTGGTTTACGTGCTTTTGGTCATTATATAGCGGAAGATTATTATATAGCTTATGAAGTAGCTAAACAAGGTTGGAAATTACGTGTTGCATCAGCACCTGCACAACAAAATTCTGGCGAATATTCTGTATCGACATGGATTGATCGAATGATTCGATGGTGCAAGTTGAGAATGCGTTTAAGTCCATTAGCGTATTTAGAACCATTACAAGAGTGTTTTTCATCAGCTATACTAGCTGGTATCGTTACAAATTATTTATTTGAATGGAATGCTCTTGTTGTTGCTGCTTGTCATATTTTAATATGGTTCATTCTTGATTATCTTATGCTACGAATAACACAAGTATGTTTTCCTTTTAATAGCATAAATACTTTTTTTTTAATTAAAATATTTTTGTTTGTTTTTAATTTTAGGGTGGTGCATTACCTTTTTCAAAATTTGAATTTGCTATCGCATGGCTTGTTCGCGAATTTTCATCGTTTTACATCTATTTTAAAGCATTCACTGGTTCGTCAACAGTTAGGTGGCGTGGAAAAGAATATCGTCTTGGTTCAGGTACACGAGCTGAAGAATTATCTCCTTTACCTTTGCCACCACCTGCACCTTCTCTTGTCAAATCATCATCATTATCATCTATATCATCGTCATCGTCGTTATCTAATTCAACATTGCCAGTGGCTGGACCACATCTATCTTCATCATCATCTACAAAACAATCACCTCAACTTGTATGAAATTGTTTTCGTTAGTATGTTTTCATTTGATTTTGTTTGTTGTTGTTTTTCTTTTTTTTTTTGGTTTTTACTCGAATACGTGCCGGTCACGTTATACTCATATCGTTAAAATTTATGATGAAGATAGTATGACACTTATTCTCTGGCGCTGACTTAATCCGAGTTTACAACCATAAGCTTAGCATTTAATATTCATCTAACAGTGTTTTGTTTGTTCTATTCTCTACTATTTTATATCTATTTCTCTTTTTTTTCTCTGTCTTGATCCTAAGAATGATGCTTGTCTGTTCGTTGTCTTTGTCTTTTTGTTTTCTTTTTCTTAATCTTCTTCTTCTTCTTTTTCTATAGGCCTCATACACTTCTTTTTTTTGTCTTTTGTTTGTTTGGTGATTATTGTCATATGCAGAAAAAAAGAAAAAAAGAAGAATAGTGTTCTTAAAGAAAAATAATCCTCGATAATCAAAGCAATTGATTTAAAAGAAATAAAATAAAACATTTATTGATATGTTCCCTTATAATATAAAATGTTTTTATGAACTAATTAAGAACACTGTACCAAAAAGAATATATATTTGGTTTTTTTTTTCTAAAAAATTATTTATTGGAGACATATAAGATGCATAGGAAATGATGTATTATATTGAAAAACACATGAATGATACAGAATAGGAGAGCCTAAAAGTTCGACAGTAAGTGCTTTCATTCTCGGAGTGTTAGAAGTGGTGGGTGGAGAGGCGGAGGAAGAACGAAACTCACTGTGACCCGGCCCCTTCCATCAGGTCGCCTGTCTTCCAATCCTATTCACTTCATAATGACAGTGTCTGCTTATATTTTTTTTAATGTTCTGTCAGAGAAAGGCAAATGATGTTTAAAAAATAGATTTCTGTCTAAAGCTATCATGAAGCTGTAAAAAATCGACAGAAAGTCAAACATTTGTGAAGCTCTAATGAAGAAATTTGACTAAGAGTAAATGACAAACAGTTATGTCAAGAGATGATTAAAACGAAAATTATAATACTATACAATTAATCTTGAAAATAGATAAAAATTCGAAGGTTATTCTGATAAGATGAAAACATAGTATCAAAAACTTTTGAATAATTCTAAGCAAATTTGATACTTTAATGAGTATAGAAAAATGATATTAACATGAATCAGAACTCATTGCATGCTATTCAATGTAATACAGTATCTGTTTCATCATGAATCTTCATAAAGAAACTATATCGTCTTTAGTTGTCAATTCTATTCACAAGATCATCAATAAATTTTATTTGTTTAATAATATATACAAAATAAGTATAATTCTTTATGCACATATTTTTCATTCAAAAAATTTTTTTGTTCACAATTTAATTCTTTTGTCATACTTTGTTTTAATACAATGTTGAATTAAGATGCTTGAAGATAAGAAAAGAAAATCAGTAGTTACACAAAACAACATAAGGAAGAAGGACAAATGATGAATTAAGAAATTCAAAAATATCACGTATGTGTACAATATAATGATGAGACAATTTTTTAAATACATACTTTCATCTTTAAGTCAATAAATGAGTTACGAAATTCAAAGCTATTATATTAATATAGATTACATGAAAATCTTTTAGATAAATTACTATTCTTAAAGTATGTATTACAAATGACCATGAAATATACAAATATTGACAGAATATTTAGTGATGTATACAAATCTTGTAATAGAAAGATATAATCTTATATATCTATAGATATCAAACATTTGGTAATAGAATATTTGAAATTTTAATTGAAACAAACCTATATTAATGTTAGATTTCGTTGTGTTTCTTTTTCTCATATTTCAATTTTAAAAATACTTTATTTTTTTGTCATCTTTCAATAAATAGAAATTTGAAGGACATTAAAGTCATTATCTCATGCTATAAACTATGAAAAATTGTCAATAAATTATCCTTAAATATGTATTACTAGTAAAGTTCTATTTGAAACGATGACATATGACAATTGATGAATGCATCATTATATTACAATAAATTTGTATTTGTTCAAGAAAGGAATATGACATATCAACCAGAGATTCGGCGACGAGTTTTGTACTTTAGCCCACGCCTATTTAAAATTGGGCACATCCAGGTGAAATACATGCTGCGTCATTCTATTTTTTACGCGTTTTAGAAAAGCGTGAAAGAAATGAATCGTTGCCTGTAATAGGTGTCCACAGAGTAAAAAGAAAAAGAAACGTAAGGTGTACATAAGCGTGATTAATGATGCGGAGCAAACCCTGCAGAATCATAATGTCAACACTAGCATCAATAATAATAAATCAAATAAAAATTACGAAGATTTTTATATATGCTCATAGATTATTCATACCCACTTTCTATGAATAGCAATAGTTTAAATGAAAAAAAGAAATATTTCTATTGCAAAAAAAACCTACGGTCATTTAGCCTCAAATGATACGGACTTTTAATTAAAAAAAATTTTTGTATATAAATATATGAAACAGAATATATGATCATGCAGAAACATTCTGTTTTTTATTTAAACTTAAAAACTTATGTATTATTGATTAATTATCTAAAAATATTCAGACATATGAATTGAATATTTATATTAAATAATAAATGGATAATAAGAATACTCTATTGCAATATAAAACCAAAGAAGTAGAATAAAAAGATCTATAGATGTGCACACGAAAAAAAAACCGAAACCAATCTTGATTATTGAAAAATGAGTTCGATCATAAAAAAGTTGTTTCGACGACACAGTCCTAGAAAAAAACAACAACAGCACTAATTACTTATATGTTAATATTAGTTTTAAATAATTAATTCAATTACTGAGAAACGAAGAGTTTTCTTCTCACAGATTTTTACTTACCGTTTGCTAGCTATCTATGATTCAATAGATTGTTGTTGTTGCTGTTGTTCTTCATCGCTGTAAACTTGATTACTATTACCAACAAATGCTACTGAAGTATTATTTAAAGATTCTTCAGTAATATTCAAAGTATTTATTTGATATTCTTGTTCATTCAAAGTTTGTTTATTTTCAATCTGATAATCAGCCGGCATGATACCATTTCGAATACAAGCATTTCGAAATTCTTCTATATCTTTATTTGGAATTTCAGGTTGATAAGCTGTATTTACCTGAGCTGTATTAGTATTCAACAAGACAATATTATTCATGGTAGACATCTGATTACAGACCAATTGTTCAGTGGATGCCGGTAATGATAATATAAAACTTTCTGTACTTGTACTCTTGTCTACTTTCTTTGTAGATGATTTTTTATTTGATTTTTGTTCTTTCTTCTTTTTATTTTTCTTCTTTGATTGTTTATTATTTTCAATTGTTGTTACATCAAGATGATTGTTTATTTTTTCAACAGATGTACTTGCTTGTTGCTGTTCATCTTGGCTTTTTCCTAAGATTGATACACTTTTCGTTTTGGTTAATTTGGCACCCATGATGTATATATCTACTAAAATGTGAAAGTGAACACGAATGATATGTAAACACGCAAGATATAGACAATGTTGAATGTGTGCACGAACAGTGAATCGAGTATGTCTGAGAACAGAGAGCTGTAAGCAAGTACTGATACAAAAGAAAAACGAGAGATAGAAAAAACAGAGATAACAATGAAATGTATGTAGCCGATGTATATGTATGCGGCATCATTGTTTTTAAGTATTGTAAAATGAATCCTTCTCTTATAATGATCGGTAGCATTGGCCATCAGCATTGATAATAGTAAAGAAAAGAAAACGAGTAAAAAAAAAAGGACATAATGGTCAATATCATATGTAAACATAGTTATCTATCGATGAGAACAAAACTGAATATATTCGACAATAAAGAAAAATGAAATACAATCAATCACACAAGTAATAAATGCTTAACTTGAGTTAAAAAATTTGCCAATAATATATGATTTGATTTTATGATACTTACCTTGTTATTGAAATCTATGTCAATGAATTGTCAAATACTGGAATTTGTACAGATATAATTATAATTGTCTCTAAAATGAATACGTTAGTACAAACATTTATTGAAGTCTTTAAATTATTATATGAAAAATAAGTTCACAAATATGTTTAAATTAAAACAAATACGTTACAGATCACGTTAGAGTATGTCCAACGGCAGAAATAAAAGTTATTTGAAGGATTTCAGCATGCTTACTTTAGTTATTTGTACAGTTCTTCATAGTACAGAAGCATAACTTTAGAGTAAATAAATATCTTGAGAATAGTTTATTTTTATTCGATAGGTTCCATCTTACATTTAGTTTGTTGCAATGTATCAACACATATATAATTAGGATGTCTATTGACTATTTATCATTGTTATAATGTTCTGATTAAATCATCAACCACATTAGAAAGGTATCAAAAACAGCAACTAACTGTGAAATTGATACTATGAGGCAGGCGCGTACCCAGGATTTTTAGGTATGCTGGATCTCAGCTTCAGAGTATGGGACCCAGATGAAACTTATGGAGGCTGATATTGGACCCAAATGATGAGTTTTTATGAAATAATTTTTGCGATCGGAGTTTGCGAAAAAAAATTCTTTTTTTGGGCATCCCCCTAAAAAATTTTTTGCTTTTAGTAGTATTCCGTTTTTTAGAGTTTGATCGTAATCTACATCGGATTTCATCGACAGATTTAAAATTTCATCGAAAAATATGCATCCGTTCAGAAGTTATAACGTTTTGAATTTTTGCAAAATGGCGCAAAAATTTTGATAAAAATTCAAAACGTTATNCGGCCGATCTTTCGTTTGACATTTGACACAGTACGTTGAGATACATGTATACGATCAAGTTTCAAAATGTTCACAATTTGAGGCTGAGAATATCCTTGACGTAATAGTTGCGAAATACGTCCTTCGGCAATGTCGGAAATTTTCTTACGTGGCATTTACTTGAAATTAATTTAAACGAATTGAACTAAAGAGGAAGGCTATAACTGTCATCGAGAGGAAAGAAAAAAAACGTTCAATATGTGATGCGCACGTGTTATCGCGAATACTATTAAGCATGATACAAGCAGTCTGTATATGAAAAATAAAACTATTAATAATCATGACAACAACCCTAAAAAAAATTTTTTCATACTTGTTTGAGATTCATCAAAATTTTGGGCTAGAGCCAGAGAAACTAACAAACAAATTAGATGATTTGATAGAAGAGCTGATGCTCTATCCAACTGTGCTCAAATAAAAAAAATTCGATGTATTGCATAAATACAGCAAACGACACAAAACTAGCAAAAATAACGTAATCAACCTGTATACGTCATCTTTATTCTGTTCTGTAGTTCTTTTCTTTTTTTAAATAAATTATTCTTCAAGCTATAGGATGCTCTCGTTTCTTTCTGCAGACACACATATTATTAGATAATGTAATCTTTATATATCTATATACGAAACAGAGTGTATACACCAATCAATTTTTTTCTTTTTCTGTCTTTTCCAATTAATGGGGATCTATATGTTCTGAAGAAGTGCCATTTATTTCTATTTCTGATACCAAATCGATTAATTATCGCTCACCAAAAGTTACTTGCATGAGAGCCGTATCATGTTCTATTTAGTCACCATCTTCAGACTTGAAAATATATTTTTGTTTCACATCATGAAATAATCATGGATGTGATCGCTCCTGTTTTTAAAGATATACACAAAGATGAATTGATAATTTATTTGGGAAAAAATAATTTAGGAGAAAAAACTTTTCTTCAAATCAGATAGATATGAACTTTTACTAAGTCTTGAATTTAGGTTATTAAATTTTGCGAGCTATGCATCATGATAATGCATAGGTATTGAACTTATGAGAATAATATTGATAGTTTTTAATCCAAGTGATGAAGAACCTGATCTTTGATTGGAACGCTTGAAAAAATATTAGGAATATTTTCAAGAGTCACAACGAAATTTAACAGTTGTTTCTATTTTTCTTTTTGAAAACTAACTTTGTTAATAATACTGACTTTCCGATATTACTCTAGATCATACTATCTATTTGTCAAACTCTTTATCAAGTAAAACTTCATAAAAAGAGTGACAAGGTAATCTACTGATTGAATTTTCTCTTTCTCTTATCAACCTATAATTAAGATGAGGTTTCTTTGACATCGTACATTTAGATTCATTAATGCGATGAAGATTTCAAGACCGGATAAGACATTGGGTTTGCTGATTGATGAAAAATATTCTATGTCCACCGATGCATTCCAGATGGTTTTTCAGAATGCTTTAAATCTGAACTATGCGTGCCCGGAATCGAATTAGTGGTTTTTGTGCGTATTTTCTATTTTAGGGTGTGAATGTGCTTGTCGATAAAGAGAAGATCCACACTGCTACAGCTACACCTAATATGAGTAAGTTGATCAAGTTTATCTTCACAAATTTTTCTTTTCAGATACAACCTTTTTACTGGCTTCAATAGTATAGAGAGGCCCTTCACCAGAATTATCAAGACAAGCAAAGATACTTATTTTTGCGTTAATGATATACATCCTCAAAGATGTTTCCGGCATGATGGACTGCTAAACGTTATCCTTGCCGTTTATACTTTATGAATTCAAGAGATATTTTAATCGGAAGTCTTGATGTTTCTTCATTCTCATATGCACGTATAGCTTTCTGTTATTATAGGTTAAATTTTTTACGTGACTTTTTATACAAATCCATTGAAACTTTACGCTTCTTGTGTTCTGTTTTGCAACTTGATAATTTAACTATACTTCTTTCTTATCAAAATTATTGCTTTATGCGAATTTTTTTCTACCCTATATGTGTACACTAATATTTTCTCTATAATAAACTTTTGACTCTCCTTCTCATACATAAAAAAATACATGTCTCTAATATCTACATTATATTTTCATTTTGTTCTAAAACCTTGAGGAAAATTAACATATCCAACCGCACGAAACTTCTTACCAATAGTGGCTTTATACAAAGGCATTCTATCTTTCAATAATATATCGAAAACTCATATAAAATTTGACATGCAGATACAGTAAATTCTCCATCACGAATTTGATGTGTATTATAACGTTGCTCTCATGATTATAGAAGGGAATTAATTCAACTAGAGCATACGAGTAATTAGACTTTATCATGCCCAAAACTCTCTTACACAATGTCACTACCTAAAAAATAAATTGAATCTTAACATTCAATAACCCTTACTATAGCTTCGCATACGAAGATTTACTAAATTTGTAGCACAAGCTTGCATTGCGCATTGTCAGTGAAGATGCGTCATAAACGCATTTTTTGTCTGATGATTCATATTTTAATTAATACCGTTAGATAGATAATTGAATCCTGCACCTGCAAGAACACGGAAGAAAATCAATACAAACCGCTGGAAAAGTCTCGTCGATGTTACTGCTAGAATATATCATAAAACTCTCGGTTTTGACCGATGATGTCTATTGTAATTGGTACCATTCGGTAGAGAATAAATTCTGAATTTAACTTGACCAAGTAGAGAGTCAAATCAAGTCAGAGAACGAATCTGGACAAAAAAAGTCATTTATGGTGCTAATTTTACTTACGTTCAGGATAACCGTGTAGGTTGAGCATACAACACGCTATTTATGATTTTGCACCATTGTATTTGATTTGAGATTATACAAAAAATAGATCTTCTGTAAGATGATTCTTTACTGCGAAATGCTTATGATCATTAGAAAGCTGTTAAGAAGCTACTGTGCTACAGGCGAAACCATGTTTTTTCTTTACTCATTTTGAAGAGCAAGTTTAATTGGAAGGCCCGAATTTTGTAGCGGACCCAAACATTTCTCTCATTAATTTCCCTAAAAGCCAGAAATTCAATGAAAATTTGGTACAATCTATAATGCTCAGTGGTATACATATTCATTGAAAAGCAGTGCTCAGCAGGATGGCATATTGCTTAGAAAGACAGCATACTGCTCAACAGTATTCATTTGCATTAAAAAATATTTCGTAGCTACAAGCATTTAGATCAAACTACAGTTCTAGAGTTTCGTTCCGCAAGATAGCTTTGAAAAATTTGCAACACTCACGAAGAAACATTGATCAGTTACAAGTGAATTAGCGAAGTATCACTTTGTAGTCCTATTAAGCACTTTTCTTTTACGTTACCATTTATTGCATACAAGTAATAATTATCTGAAAAGACTAGACTACTTCTAACAGATACCAAAGCAGTCTGTTCAGCAATATCTTTTAATGAAAATGCATGCCACTAGGCACTAGAGATTGTACCAATTTTACATTGGATTTCGAATTTTTAGGGTAAGTAATGAGAGGAATATCGGACCAAGCTGCGAAACTCCTGTAGTCGAAATTTATATAGCCCATTAAATTCGTCACGAGAGTGTTTTTAAATTCTTTAACATGTTAAATAGTTGCATTGGATGATAGTGAAAAAGAAAAATGTATTTTAAGGTTTTCTTTCAATTCAAAACAGCTAAAATATTTCGAAATTGCAGATTTATGTTTTTTCATCCTGTGGCATATTGTTAGATAGGGTAGACAGTTCGACAACATCTTACTTTATCAACTTTATTCTGTTTTTCAAAATAAGTAAAGAAACAACATAATCTCTTCTGTTACACAATAGCTTTTTAACAGCTTCCTTATGATCACAAGCATTTTCCAGCACAAGATCATGATACAGAAAAGATCTATTTTCAATGATCTCGAAAATGAAAATACATCTATTATGCTCAGTTTTTTGTGATCTTTTGAATGAGACCACTTGCAACCGAAAATAATTTCATATTAGATAGAACAAACTTTGGGCTCCTGAAGATTTAATATTTCATACAGTTTTGTTTGTGTCAAAATCCAATAATTTCTTTGCTCAATAAAACATAAAAGATTGATCAATATCAATGCTAAACGTATTCTGAAAGTCAGAGTTAACGTAAGCGTAAAGTATTATAGGCAACTGTTTTCGAATTTTCCAGAACGTTTTGCTAGGGCTCTATATATATATAGATATGTATATATTTTGGTGACTGATAAAGACATTTGCATTTAATCTGAATATTTCTTTTATTTCATATTTAAAACTATAACTATTTGAAAAACAACATATGATTCATGCTTATAATGTTTATGTATCATACAAAATTCAATTAATTTTCAAATATAATTTACTTGTTTTTTCATAAATATGAAATGTATATATCTTTGTCAAATGTTTCGGTTATATTTACACCAATACCTAGAAATGGGTTGTCGTGCGAAAAAACAACTTGTTTTATAATGAAAAGAAGAAAAATTGGCATCTAATGACACGCATAAACAACAATAATGATGGAAATTGTCCATCGTTTGGCTAAATAAAAACGTAAGACAAACGAACAACAGTTACAAAAATATATATCAAAGAAATAAATGCTGGTTATTCCTAACGACAAGCGACAACAGCTATCAACAACAATCAAGATAAAATTACACGACAAGAGAAGAAACAAGAAACAAAGATGAAACAACAAAATAGGAATGTTTTTTTTTGTCTGCTTTCTTATAGCTTAACAATAATTATTTTATCACTATTTTTCATCTCCAGGATCTTTGAGTGAGTGCCATTGAGCAATAGGTCTTCGAGGTGACGCAAGCATATCAGTCCAATGACGTAATTCAGGACCAGTTGTACGACAGCCTAACACAACTTTTCCAATTGGTTCGGATGTTCCAATACGATCATAATCAACAACCAAAATCACTAATTTTACTTTCTATAAGAATCATTATAAAATAAATATTATTGTTGTAATAATAACAAAACAAACCTGAATTTCTTCAAATGATACTTCGAATGTAAATGATTCATTATAATATGGATTTAATGTACATTTTTTAATTGATGTTTTCTTTTTTTTTAAACGTTTTTCATTCATCATTAATGATAATTTAACATATGGATCTTGGAAAAAAAAAAGATTATTATTTTAAATAAATGAATTCTTTTTCTATTTGTTGTTTTTCTTTTCATACCAGAAAGTCCAGCGACGTCCATCTTTCTAAGATTTTTAGCTTCGAGTATAGTAACTGTCAATTTGCCAGCTGTTGGAACATATCGAAGTGAAAAACAAATGTCTCCTAATTTGCTGTCCTATTTAACCAAAGATATTTATCAATAAATAAAAATATCTTCAACAAACATACAAAATCTCGATCACGGGGCGGCGGTATTAACTCTTTTATTTCTCTTATGACTTGTCCTAAATCCACGGCATTCAATGGAATTTGTACTTCGCCAATTGGATCATGTCGTGAAAAACGATCGTAATCGATAACTGAAAATATAAGTGTTTTTCCACTTATTTCACCATATGGCAAATCCTATTAAACACATAAATATAATTTTTTTCTTTCACTTATAAAATATAGTCATAACCAACTTTGAATATAAATGTTTCATTAAAAACAGGATTTAATGTTTTTCGTTGTGGTTTTGTTTCAAATTTTTTCTTTTTATCTGGTAATATATATACTTTAACATATGGATCAGATGCTCCATTTATATCCATAGCAGGTAACTCTTGTGCTTGAATAACTTCAACTTTCAGCTATAAAACCAAAAAAAGAAAAAAATGTTCAGAAAGTATAAAAATTTTCTCATACCTCTTGTTTTTGAAAATCATAATCAAGTGAATATTCTAACTTTCCTAAATATTGTGGTTCACTTTTTTTTGATTCAGCATCTTCATTATCTTCCATATTTTGTGTTAATTGTTCAACATCGGGTTGTACCTGCAAATTAGTTACATTAATCAATAAATAATCATCATCAATATTGCATGTCGTTATGCAGGCAGAATTGAAAGACAAATTGTTTCGTTTCATTCTTATCTTTATGTATGGATGAATGAATAAACAAATAACCTTACCTTCGCTTTTTTGAATCCAAATTTCTTCAGACCTTTGAAACTGATTCCTTTGCTACTCTTTGATGATTTCTTTTTACAGAATCTTCGACATGCTATTTGGAGACAACAAGCGCAACCGATACATGCTACAAAAATTACTAGAAGAATAATGAGCCATTTCGCCCATGGTGGCACTAAAATTAAATAGAAAGAAAGTCATGTATTCAATGTATCAACATTGAATCGAACAGTAGATCATTTCTTTATGACAATGATACTCAGTCGATAGAGCTATTGATTCAAGTGGTATTTTGAAACAAAAAAAATTATTATTGTTTTTTTCTTTTCATAAATGATGATTTGTTCTAAAAACTATAATTAGAAAACTTTCTAAACACTTCAGATATTTTAGGAACCTGTTGGATGAATCAATTTAGGTTATCATATTTTATTACCAATCTTTATTAAATATATTAGTTAGCATTCTCATGTGTGTATATAGAATGAGCAACTTTCGATGAAGTCGTGATGAAACTTACTCGAATATATAAACAAAAATGTTTGTCGTCACACTATTTTAGAGATATAAAAAACTAAAGCAGAAAGAAAATCGTTGAAGAACAGCAAAAAAAAACCTTGCTGTCGTTTTTTTTTGCTAACCTTTTTTTTCTCTCTTCGTTATTATTGTACATCAATAATCACAACATACTCGAGCAATATGTTCGTATCTTTTTACTAATCAGTACATAACACAATTTCTGGTCGCTTACCGACCATCATGCGTTAGTTTATTTCGACCATGGAATGAGAAAAAAAACAGGAATGACAAACAACACATCGATACGATAGAAACCAGAAAAAAAAACATGTGTGAAGGAAACAAAAAAAATCTTTCATGATAAATAATTTACACATATATAAATATATGTATAGTTCTGTTTTATATGTTTAATGAAGTGTGCATTGACTTTGACAGAATGACGAATGCTTTACACGCCTACATAACTATCTGCATTTACAGGTTTACATTTGAAGAGCAAATATTTTTGTGGAACTTTTCTTATTTTTTGTTGTTTGTTAAGTGATAAATGTCAATTGTAGCAATAGAAGAAATAAGATAAAAATCTAGTAATATTAGTATTGTTTTATGTCGAAAAATAAAAGACGACATCTATTGAAAAGCAAGATGAAAAAGAATCATTTCGTTTAGAAAAAAAATGTTAAAACGAATTCTCTTTTTTTCATGTAAACGGAATTAGGTGGAAATTCTTCTTTGTTTACACTATTTCTTTTCATGATACATAAGCATAGATAAATATACTTTTATCTTGAAGACAGAGTATTGGAAAATGACATCCTTTGCATAAGATAGTATCATCAAATATGAATATGTCTGTGTCTGTCATAAGACTATCTGTGTTATTCTAATATTTTCTTCTAACGTACTCTTTTGCATACTTACTAGGAACTTTTTCCATAAATTCCTCATCAATTGCTTTAGCCTTGTCAAACGGACTTTCAGTACTTGTTAATAAAGCATTAATTGATGACGAAGTTGTAATTAATGATTGATAATTTTCATTGCCATTCTCTTCATAATACTTTTGTTCTGATTCGTCATCATTTGGGAAAATTTCTTGACTACGCATATGCCGATATTGTAAAATATTCATATGTTTTATTTTATCTTGAAATAATTTGTAAGAATTACGAAGTAATAATGTTACAAAAAAAAGCCTTGTTAACTTTTTTGGTTTTATATTGACTTATAATGTTTTTATTACTTTTTCTTCTAAAGAGAAAAATCTCTCTATTTTCTACTGATTATTATTGTAAATGAAGAAATATTATGTTTGTTGTTTTTAAACATCTTATTACTACTATTATTAATAAACAATTAAAAATTAGTAAACGAGAAGTAGATGTAGAAAAAAAAAGAATAAAAATAAGATACATAAATATCGGATAAAGCATGATATCACGAAGAATATGATATGTTGTCGAATAAAAACCTCGATGGTAACAACAAAGAAAGAAAAAAAAACAGAGTTTGATGCTCGAGTACTCTTCGTATCTCCACTTATTTTTCATCATAAAACTTAAAAGAAATTTTTTTTTTCTTAAAACTAAAAAGTCATTCTGCGTTTTGAACTGTTGACATATGATAATAATTTTCCAAAAAAGAAATTCAGTTATTGACATGCATACCTTATTATATTTGCATTATCATCTACAATAATACTTTTCAATTAGGTTATAGAATGTAATGCATATATCTTTAAGTCAATTGTATGCATCTCGCTTGTTATATGACATGCATAAAATCGCATAGTGGACTAAACATAATCATATTAGTAAAGATAAATTCACAATAATAATAATAATAATAATAATAATAATAATAAAAAAAAAACAAAAACAACTAATATTTGTTTCTTGTAGTCTCTAATCGTTTCTTTTTTATAAATAGATTCAGTCAATGAGAAAAATGAAGAAGGAAATGAACCTTTTTCTATTGTTTCTCGTTAGTTTCTCACATGCAAGCAAAAAATATAACTGCACAAATGATTATAGAAGGGAGTATTTGTTCTTAGTATTGATGTTCTCGCTCTGTCCCTTTTTTCTTGTTGTGTAGTATGCATCCTCAATTAGTTCGAAGCGGAAAAAGATATGAAGAAACTCGCCATCGTTTTTCTTTTCCTTGTATTCTCATCATCGTTTTTCTTGTCACTATTGTGATTCGAAGCACAAACCGAACATTGTCGATTTTCTTAATCGATAATATAGTGTTCAATTAATGTAAATCATTATTTTTCTCTCATTTTATACGTATGGCAGAGCAAACAAGACCTTGTACACTTGTTGAAAAATACAATAATGATCGTATTTCTGCTCAACAGATAACTGACATACCGTATGCGAAGGATTCCTTATCTAGAAAAGTGATGAAAATATCTTTCACTATTTCATTAATTAATCAATGTTTAGAATAAAGGAAACGATCTAGATGAAAGAAAAATCAACCAAGAAAAAGAACTATATATATATATATATAAGAAAAATATGAATATCAATTTAAAAAGAAGATGAAGACAGAGAAAATGATGAATAATATACTTTTAAGTTTATATGACAAAGTTATTTAAATAAAACGACTAACTAATAAGGACCTTAGGGATATAAGACAAAAATATGTGGCAAATTATGTTTATTTCTGTATAATGCATTAGTAATATTTCTGTTTCTATTCAACTACAAAATAACATAGCTACTTGTTTCCAATACATTTCAAAAAAGGCATCATTACTTACAAATACAATGATTCATCAAATGTGGATGTATATTTTTGTTTTCTTATCATTATTCATTCCAGATTACCATTAAATAAATTGATTTTTATTATTAAATTTCTTTTGGTATACGTTCTGTAGTTATAGAATAAATGTAGAAGAAAAAGAAAATCTTGAAATGTATGAAAGAATGTGTCAATCAAAAGTGTTGCATTTATATCTTAATTTGTAATTGAAAAATCTCTGAAATAAAACAACTTCGTAGTACAATGTATCAAAAATAATGTTTATCAATTAAATACAAAAAAAAGAAACTTGGCCGTTTTTGTATCAAAGCAACACTTATGATTAAATTAATAATTTAATCAAATTGAAAATTTCTTATTATTTCATTGAAAATAAAAATAAAATAAATATGAACAGGACTAATAGTTCATTAAGGAAACTGTTAAGTTCACTTATGAGCAATTTTATTTCAATTTTTATGAATAGATTAATATAAATGATCGACTTTTTCGTCATGTCTATAAAAGAAAAGCCCAGCGACTTGTAATTGTACTCTTTTCATTTAAATGATAAAGAGATCTTGACTTTTTAAATAAAATTGAAAAAGTCAAAACTAAAGTATCACAGATTTCTTTTAAAACACTAGAATCAAGTTTCATTTTGTTTTAGACATCTGACAAATATATATTGTCTAGAATATTTCTAAGAACTGTAATGAAAAATTAGTCACATTGACCTTTTTTTTTTCTATGCAAATTAATATGAGCAAAATGACAGACAGAAGACGAGCCATTTGAAAATAGAAATTTGCTTTTGAATTTACTCTTATAAACATTAGTCTAGTGAAGTACTCATGATATTGACAGTAAGGAGGTAAGAGGTTCACATGGACGAACTAATGACAGAGCTTAGTTGGTGTGGTTTCGATCAGTGGGGAGATAAACTTTCTCTCTTGGTTATGTCATTTTAAAAAATACTCATGAAAAATTATTTCAAACCATATAGTTTTAATAAATACTCAATTTCATGTTTTGCCTCAAACAATTGATTAGAAATAATGCACGTAAATAATCTACAATTATTTAAAAGTTAAAAGAATGCAGGTTTCATATTATTTAATGTGTTATTATAAATAAATAGATATTTTTTCTATAGTCTGTCATCATGCATGTATCTAATGCATATATTTGATAGAATATTTTCTCAAAGGAAATCTTATTTCATCAATATACTTTGCTTACTTTAATTATTAAACCATTGAAAGAAAATAGCACAAAATTTTATCAGGACAGGCATTTTTTTTTTCAAAACATAAATATTGAAAAACGTTCTTCTCATCTGCATATTTCAAATATGAGTTTGACACAGTCAATCAATATTTATTTTTGTCTAAATTCAATCTACTAAACAAATATTATTCATTATAATTTGTCTACCTATGATGCATTTGTTTTTCACTTTATGTACGGATCACGTTCTCTTATTAACATTTTATATTACATAAATAACTAATACAAAAAACTTATAATCTTAAATCAGTAGTTATTGATCCTGATGGTTTAACAATTGATAATTTTCCTGCTGCATCAAATGGTGCTCCATATATAGAATTATTCATCCACCCACCTTTTTTTGAAGCACTTAAATACGTTTCAAGATGATTAATATGATAATCAAATCCTTGTTCTGCATTTATTCGTGGTAGTGGTATATGATTAAATCTATAATCCCATACACTTGCATATTGAAAACGATATGATCCAAAAGCAAACATTGTTCCAATAATCGATCCTACTAAAATATCATACCAATGATGATAATGATCGATTGTTAATGACAATGCAATAAGAGATGCACCAAGTAATGGTGCATAAAAAAGTACGAGTTTCCAATATTGTGGACGATAGTTAGCAAAAATTTTTAATTTACCATTAAGATATAATGAACAATAAACAAGGCCAGCAAAAGCTGCTGTTGAATGACCTGATGGAAGTGATTCAAGTGCATCATTGATTTGTTTTTCATCACCTGTACATATTGAACGATCAAACATAATACCATCAAAACCATTGCCCGTACCGTAACTTGATGCATTTATATTCGGTTTACAAACAGAAAAAAAATGTGGTCTTAAACCACCAATAAGCCATTTAATGAAGACTTGAAAAACTGCAGCTGATATGAGAGAAAAAAGCAGACCCATTATTGCTGTATTAGCATCATTAAAACTACGAAGACGAATTTGCATTAATATTATAAATATAAATGGAATAGTAAATGCCAAAAATGCAGCTAACCATATTGGAATAATATCTTTACGAAATGGATAACTAAATTCTGGATCAACTATTTCACCATTGGAAAAATAAACAGGAAAAACACGATTAGGTATTGGCCGAAGAAAATAAACACCAAGACCAACAGCTCCTAAAATAGCCATTAAAAGATAATCCATCCAAAATGTATAAAAATAAATTCGAAATGTCATGGATTTATTTTGAGATATGTTTGAATCATTTTGAGGCCTATTAATATCTGGTTGTTCCATAACAATAATTGCATCCCGAGTTTTGTTCATTATTTCTTATGTTTCAAAAGATAAGTGAATAAGTAAAATAGAAACGTGTGTGATAGTAGTGACAGAATCGAAGTAAAAAAGAACACGCAAAAGAGAAGCATTGCACTGTTCGGGTTTGAACGAAAAGGGCAAAATTTTACCACGTGTTCTTTTTCTTTTTCTTTTTCGTTTGATCAACATTATATAGCATTGAAAAGTTATGCAGTAGAAATATAACAAGTGACGAGATATGTTACTCGTTGACTCGAAGATTAGAAATTACGTTTTCATCAGTCAATTGGTGTTTTAATGAAACTACAAGGCAAAACTGTAATCAAAACAAATGAAACTCATGAAATTTTAAAATCCGATAGTATAAACTGATTTCATATTGAGAAGAAGAATTCGAAGTTCGATACGGTACGATTAAAAGTTAACATATTATGATTGACAATTTAACTGAAAAGTGATTGGAATTTTCAAGCAAAATGATTTGAAATAAATCAAATTAATACAACAACACCGTAACGAGATTCAGTATTAGATTATCAAAATCGGGATATATTTTTATTCTCAGTGTTAAAGCAAATATTGTATTGTGTTTCATGTTACGTTATGTATTTAGGATATCAAGAGATGCTGTAATAGTTGTTTATGCATTTGTCGCAGTATGGCATTGAATTGAAAATTACTCTTTAACAAATGAAATAAAAAAATTAACACATGATATTTGATTGATTGAGATTTGAAATAATTAATGTTGTATATAAAGCTCCACAAGAAAAAATACATTTTGCATTGGTTACGAATGTTCGTCTAACAATAGTAATAGTTATACTTAAACAAATTAATATTTTAATTCATGAAATAATTTCAATAAATGGTTTTGACATATTATAATTAATTTATATTGAGTTACTTCGTAATAGAAAGTTAGTTAAAAATTGCATACATAATAGAAAAAAATAAAATCATATTGAGAACATAAGCAAAGAAAAAACAACAAACTAATAAAATTCATCTAATTAACGATGAAAATTAATTTATTGTTTCTAGTGAACTAACGCTTGTCTTTTTCATTCGTTAAATATTTTAATTTTTTCTATCTCACAGTACATAATTAGTTGATAGTCATATTCGTCTATATACAAATAAACAAACCAATCAGGTGTGAGTTTCGTTTCCAAAAAAAGGGAAATCATCTTATCAAATGGCATATAAAGTTAAGATGTTCAATATCTTCATCCATTATTATTCACTCTTATTAATTAAATGAGTTATTTCTATGTATAGTTGAATTACTCTTTCTGTTTCAAATGTAACGGTAATTCAACTATAGATAGAAATAAATCATTGAATCGATGAAATTTTTTTTTTCTTTTCTTCATGCAATGAATTAAAGAGTAATTCATTGCATGAATCAAAGGATTTTCGTTTCTCCTTTCTTTTTTTCTGTATCAGCCTATCGGATGGTTTGAAACACAAACTATATCATGAAGATCTTTTGTTTAGAATATATATAACCAATACATTTGGACATGTATTGGTTATTTTACCAGTAGGCATGATCCCATTGTGTTCTCAATATGAAAGAGTTTCTTCGTAAGCGCACGTATATTTCATCAAATAATAACAAGAGAAAAAAATTCTTTCCTCTGTATTATATTTATTTCTTTCAGCAAAACAAAAATAAATTTACACTCTCTTTTTCATGTATTCGAGATTATTTCAATATAATTGAATATCTGGATGGTTAGCAGGTAGTGAGTCTTCTAGTATTTTAAGAGTCTGTTCACAATATAAGACTACTTTCGAATACTCTCCAATCTTAGAAAATACTACTCCAATGTGTCCATAAAATTTAGCTAAAGTAGGATGATTTGAAGGAAGAATTTTTTTTGGCAGATTTCGAGGTCTTTATGATAATATAAAAGTGCCTTCGAATATTCACCTAGCTTTTTATATACCAAACCAATGTTATTGTAAGAAGTAGCCAAACTCGGATGATTTGGGAGAAGAGTTTTTTGGTAGATTTCCAGTGCTTTTTGATGCGATGAAAGTGCATTTGAATAGTCACCCATCTTGATATACACTAAACCAATGTTGTTGTAAGAGGCAGCCAAAGCAGTATCCGTTGATGAGAGAATGTTGTTCTTGATTTCAATGGATTTTTTATAATAGGCAATAGCATTTGCATATTCACCTTGATCCTTCTTCACCCATCCGAGCTGGTGACAGACAAATGGTTTTTCCCGATCAGTCATTATTTGATCAAGCAGGATATCATATACTTCTTGAGCTTTGTCGAAATATCCAGGTTCAATTAGCAACATACCCAAACGATTCCATTCTTCTGCGTCAGGATAGGTATCTTTGCGTATTTGTTCCGTAAGTACATGTAGTTCTGGATCATTGTCACTGGTCAATGTTAAATCAACTTGCCAAAGATCTTTATTCGTATTGATTTGTTTCATTGGACCAATTCGGAAGACGGAATGCATGGAGAAGAGAATTTCTTCTTCTCCTTCGAAATAACTGACGTCATAGACGTTAGAAAACAACGTTGACGTGATGGACGGATCAATTTTGATGAAGAATAAAATACCAACAAGATCGGACGTTTCAATCGTTTGACGAACAAAATCAAAAGCTACTTGACGTTTTGTACAAGTTGATAAAATATTGTTAAATGATAAAAGTCCACCTTTGGTTTGGACAATTTGATCAAAGTCGGTCTTGGACAGTCCTTGACCATGAAAAACAGTAAATGATTTCATACGTTCTTGTCCAACATATTGTTCATTATGAAGCTTGGCGATGGGATTGTGTAGATCGCAAATGAAAAATCCCATGCTAATGATAAGATCAAATTCCATCATTCGTAATGATCGATTCAGCATCAAATAAAGAAAACATTGACTGGTATACCACCAAATCAGAAAATGCTTATGGTATTCTTGTTCTAGTTTGCATACGTGATGAAATTCATTCAGATTGTCTGAAAAAACGTTGTGACAGTAGGTAATAAATTCATCGAGATGTTTTTGTAGGAAATCAATCGTTAATAGAATTTCTTTCATAATCTGCGTATACATAAATGAAGAATCTAACTGACTGAGGTTTTGTTTGTTGGTTCCACTGCCTGTGCTGACAAAACTGATCGAAATCATGTTTTGGTCATATTCTTGTGCTGCTTTTTGAAGAGCTTTACAAATCGAAGCAATATCTGTAAAGACTTCTTTTACTTTTGGCCAGTGTTTGGTCCATTGTTCATGTCGAGCTTGATTCCCACAAAAAATATATATTGTACCGACCTGAGACATATCATGTACGATGGGAACTGCTGTTTGTCCTAGAGAATCTGAAGCTATCATAAATATTTTGTCTTGTTTGAGGTTACTAATAAAATCGATACATTCCTCAACATTTGTGAATGTATTGACCTTGTTGATAATTTCTTTTAATTTTGAAATTGTATGCTTGCAATCGTCGTTATTTTCTGGATCGATGCTGCTGTCGAGTCAAACAAGTAAAAAGTTCTGAACCATACGAGCATGAGGAGGTCGTCGTGGTGGTCTTATGTTGGTATAATCAGATAGCATGGCATCAGAAACACTAATTATGGTTGTTGTCGAGTTTTTCTTTTTGTTCATGGTGTGCTTGGTATTTTATCAATGAAAAACAAAATAAGATGACTTGAATATATGTATGATATGTTCGATTTTTTTTCTAGATGTTTGCATTTAGTTTTTGTTATTATTGTCTTTTGAGTTCTTCTCTTTGTCGTTTTACTAAAATATTTCACTTCTTTTTTCATCGGCCGTCGTCTCTGTAATGACGAAAAAACGAACGAATAAAAAAAAATCATTGCCATATAATTTCATACATGATGCCGTATTTCACTTTCTTTTTATGATATCTGCAAGTTTTTTTTTTCTCTTTCTCCTTATGTTGTCTTAACTAGATTTGCACATAGAAAGAGAATAGGTCACATTTTTGTTTGAAAATGTATGACGAATTCTTACTTTGGTAGATTCTTTCGACACCATTGACAGTTCAGTGTCATAAGGAGGCTGAACAAATTTTCATGAAAATTCCTAATCAATGGTTATTATATATGGTACTCCAAAAGAATAAGTTTATCATTTGTCTGTTTTAAAAAAGCTCTGAAACTATATTAACTAAGAAATCGAAGACTGTTGCATTGTCAAATCAACAAAAGTCATGAGTTGTGATAGAACAGTGGAGATCATTTTATTGAATTGTTTCAAATTGAATTTATACCCTTATTGACAATAATATAAAGAAACTTCAAGTCTATAGAACTTGAAAAAAATGCACATGCAATCAATCAACTCTTAAACTACGATTCATCTTAGTAATGAAAAATAAGCATATACTTAGCTAGCACTGTAAATTCTCCGACAATCCTTAACAACTTTTATCAATTAGAAAGTAAATTAAATCAATTATAATAATGTGTAGTCATAACGATTGTAGTTTTGTTGAAAATACAAAACTGACAAATACATTTCGAATTCTAATTACTGATCTTGGATATGATGAAAACTTCGAAAGATAGCAGCAACATTCGATCAAATCATTGTTGTTGCTGAAATTCACTTTCATTATCTCGTTGTCATCAGTCTCGTTTTCAGTGTGTTGAAAAAAAAACAGAGTCACTCACTCAAAAATCGTCATTTTGTTAAACGACTTGAGAACGAACGGAACTTTATATAAGAACATGGAACTTTCTATCAGCGTTTCAACGAATATCGTACGACTACAATTTTTAGATCATCGCACAACAAAATGCAGATTTTGTTACAACATCAAACAGATAAAGTATGGAGGCCGAATGCATACGCGATCGACTACATAAATATTGTGTTTCTCACCGTATAGTTGCGTTTGGTACAAAAAAAATCGCTTAATTTTAACGGTCGGAATAAAAATCACAAGAGTGAAAATTGAAAATGATTTTTTTTCGTTGATGATTTAGAGTAATTTGGTCTTATCTGCTAATATATTATTTGAGTATGATTCATAATATCGAATATTATACTAAATAAAATCGACGTTATACTGTCAATATTTTGATATTGTTTACATATATTAAAAATTTCGAACATTGTGAAACTCTTAATTTGTGAATAGTATCTATCAATATTTGTTAAAACAGTTTGTTATGTTAAGACTCTTGATCAACAATTTCATCTGTTTTCTTTAATACGTAACTTGTTATATCTTTGACATTAGCAATTTTTTCCAACGACAATATTTTGCATGCCTAAGGATGAATTATTTTCGTGTGTATTAGTACATTTCTTTTTATTCATTCTCATGATGACAGAAATTAGAGTTTAAGTATTGATTTTTTTATGTTTCTTATTTTACAATTCTTTAGGGAAAACTAAGATCGATAAACAGTCGCCTTGATCTATAAGTATTAGCAGTGCATTAATTCATTATAGATATGACACAAAAATAATGCCTAGACTGAGTATCAAAGCTCTCCAATCTGACTCAAGCAAGAATCACAGGACGATGACATCTCTTTAATCAGCACTTAATGATAAATTACTTCTTTGGCGCATAATGGTTAGATCTTATCTAATTTTCAATGTATTCATGTCATTAGCAATGATATCTGAGAGTGTGAGTGTGGGTGTCTCATTATCAATCCACATCCACATCCATATTGATTTTTTTAGTGTATTAACAAAACCTACATATTTTGCACCGTTTATTTTTAGACATCATCCATTTGATCCTGTCATAGTCGAAATTTATGATTAATAGTCGGAATAGTTGTATCAATACTAGCATGTATTCTTATTACACAAGTTTCATTTATAAAGTATCTATTTAAAGTAGATTAAATGCTTTTATTATATATTTTACCGATATTTGGCTTTGGTTTATTCATGATTATGATAAATGAATCACAAAAATTTTATTTTTACACAAAAAAAACACATTGTCCGTTAGAACATATTGCTTAGTAGTGATTCTCTTTTTGTTGTTTCTTATTGTTCTTCGTAGTTTAAATAGTGTAGTTGTGAATGTTGGTAATAGCATAAAACGAAATTGTTAATTAGACAAAGAAAATTATTTTTTATCACAATTATCTGCTCTTAGTAGACAATATAAATGGAGCAACTCATACTGCCATTGCTTGATTTCATATTTATAAAGCGAATACTCATTTAATCACACAGTATAATCTACGATTTTTATTTTTAGAAAACAAAGATTTATTGAAATAACTAACGATTTGTTACATGTGTTTATAAATGATTGAAACTAAAACTAATTTTGTGACTGTCTTGGTATCATTATTAATTTCATTTATATGATATTTTATTTCTTTTTCTAGATTGAAAAATAAGACATATAAAAGTGAAATATAAACGAAAGAAAAATAATAATTGATTAAAACAGAAGTTAGTCTTATTCGACAATGATCATTAGTAGAAATATGCAAATGTATAATGAAAAACACAAATTACAATTTAGTATATTTTCTTATTTAATGAAAAATTATTTTATTAAAGTTTTCTATTATTACGAACAAAAACAATATCTTTATCGTTCTAATTGAATGCAATACTTAGTTTTCATTAAAGATATCTTCGAATTAATCTTTGTATTCATCCAATAGTAGCCATAACTTTTCGTGACAATTATCAAACTTGGTTCTTTTTCGATTGTAATCCTATTAACCTTTATTTATATTCACAACTGTGTTGATCTTATTTATCAACAATGACATCGAAACACAAAAGGATTAATTCTTTGTTTTTCTTATCTTCAATATACGTAATAGTGACATATATATATATATATATATGTTTGTCAGTGCTCTTGATATATGTTAATTTAGCTAAGATGTCGAAGGCATTAAACAGTAGGAGAAAATTTAAATATACAGAACCGATAATAACATTTTATTTTTACAATCAAATTGATCATCAACAAATATACTTTGAATTTCTAATGATTTCGAATGTTGTAATTTTGAATTGTGCTTATTTAAAGTATCAAAATGAAGATGAATTTATCTCAATCAGTATGAATACTTACCAATATTTATTTCCGTCGATGATTAAAAATAATAGATGATTTGATAATGACATCAAAACGATTTTTCATCAAATATGTGTCAATTTTGATAGATTCAATACTTGGAAGTTTTCTTGTATTTATCTGACCTTAATAGTTTCCTATGTCAGCAGACATTAAATTATTAGTCGATTAACTATCAAAAATTCTTGTTTTGAGATTATTAGACTTTAAAGAAGAAAAAAAAACATTATTATACATAACATATAAGTTTTCGCTTAATTTTGTTTAGTTTTCTTGTTAATTATCGAAAAAGAATTTTGAAAACTGTTTAAAATTATATATATTAATATTAATATATTGTATTTATAATCATTACATTATCTTTGTGTGTGATGATTTTTATAAAAGACAAAAAAAATGATATTGAAAAAAATTTCTATACAGAAGCTCATCTGAGGAATCAAAACAAAACAAAAATGCATTACAAAACACACACACACACACACATATATATATATATAAAACATAGTAAATAACATAAAGAAGCAATTCATATATTTGTTCACAACGTGCATTCGGACAGAGGATATGGTGAATATTAAGACATTGAAACTAACGAAAGACTTTAGGATACAAAACAATGACAAAACAATAGGAAATAATATACTTGAAATTGGAATGTAGATGTTAAATGTATATGTTTAAATAATCACAATCTGGTTACAATTATATCAGAATCATCCGAACTATCACTATTTGTGACAGGATGAATTGATGGTATTGATTGTTCTTGATAAGAAACAGTCAATGGTGATATCTCACGTTTTATTTTTGTTGATTTTGATTTGAAAGAACCTGGATCAGATCGTCGACTAATCGAATGATCTACTTTAAAAGATAAAAATAAATTTTTTCATTTTATATGTAACAAAATAAAAAAAATATATTCTTTACCATAACTTCTCATAAATGGTAGTCTATTTAGTGATCCATTCGAAGTTCCATGAATATTTTGATTACTACTAAATCCTGTTGGTTTAGGTCGCCAACGACTACTTAATCCATTCGATGGTGGTTTAGGAGCATTTGTTGATGAAGAAGCATATGAATTTCTTTTAGACTTTTTATTATCTAATTGTACATAACCTAACTCGCAGTATGACTTAAATAAGTGTAGAGACGTATCAAAAAATCGAGAATCATTCGAAAATATAATTTGATAATTTTGTCGATCATTATATAAAATATTTGATGGATCAAATGTTTCTTCATTCGGTGGCATGGTTGGCACTGTAGCTGAAGATGATGTTGAATTAGTACTAACTGAATGTTTTAATGACATTATTATAAGAATTTAATAATTATTTCTTTCTCATAAGAAAAAACCAAACTATAATATATACATCTACGAATATCTACATTTGATAATGAAGCGTCAATGATGAAAGTTGTGTTTTATTTTTTGTTCTGTCTCTCTCTCTGTGTCGCTTTCTTGTTTTTCTCACAAATATGATATATGCCATGCACCTATGATTTGACAGGTACACCAGATGACGCTAATTGACAATGTAGGAGTTCTTTTTTTTTTAAGATAAAAGAATAATCACAACGACTTTTTAATGAATGAAGATAAAAGGAATATTTATTGCAAGTACTTGAAGCTTTACAGAATATCTGATCAAATTGTATAACAGCATATTGAATTAATGGGTAATAGGTCTTTTTTTTTCTTTTACTAATTTTAAAAAGACAACTGACTGTCGATTTATTGATTCAAAATTTTAAAACAAATGAAATTTTGTTCAGAAAAGAAAAACGATTTGAATTTTAAAGACATATTTTCATTAAGTTTTATTCTATGAAATTAATATACATATGAAAATCAAGTGTCAATGTAGAGATTCTAAATAATATAAAGGCATATTCTAAACTTGAAAATTTATCGTCATTTTTATCGATAGAATTATCAACAATTTTTACTTAAATAAATTATTCATATCTATTCTTCAACTATTTGTAAAATCGTTATATTAACAATGTTAATTTTGATAAAGAATTTATCTTCAGTGTTCAATAGAAAAAAAGATTTTACTTCAAAAATTCTTCATTCGTAATAACACTCTAACCTTACTTAAATATTGAAAATGTCAAAAGTTTTAAATCTCTTAATTTAATATTCATCTCAATTATATATTTTAAAAAAAGTATTTGATTTACTAATAACTATTTCATGGTTAAAATGACCGTATCAACGATCAATAAATATTTCTTGACAATGTATATTATTAATAAAATTACAACTAAAAATTCATTTTGCTTAAGACCGACCTTCTTCATTATTGACATAATTTTCAAAAAGAAAACAAAATCCGGATTTAATCGGAATAAAAAGTATATCTATTTTAAAATAATAAAAATATCTTCTTCTTTTTTCTCAAACGAAAAGTTCCATAGCAGACAAAACCTACTTATCGAACGGTCAAGTTGTTTTGGTCAATATATAATCATTATGCAATTGGCACTATAGATGTGTGTATATGACACAATCCTCCGTTTTTTTTCTTTCATTTCTCTTTTCTTTTTTTCAGTCATATATACATATATATATATATAAGATGGTTGTTGTTTAATTTACTACAATAGAATAACTACTATTCATTTTCACTCTTGGTCACTTTTGCTCATTCTTGTTTTGATTTACTTTCAAGTTCAAAATGATACCTACACAACAGAACATGTACTAGTTGAGTCTAGAAGACACTAGTTAGACTTCCTACGTCTCTCTTTTGATTATGTCATATGATACAATAACAACAACGTTAGGATTCATTTTCGACTCTTCTCTTTTCACACATAAATACCTTTAGTCACCCTCGTATTTCATTATTTAGACATCTATGTATATACATTTATATATTCAACGTATATATATATACATACATATGAATATATAGATGCTTACTACACTAATGATGATCATCAACTCGAATATATGTCATAGTCGACGTTATCGTCGTCGTCGTCTTTTGTTTTTTGATTGAAATAAATCTGTTAACACTTTTCGCACTTTTCTCGTGCGAATAAACGAATATATAGGTTCGTCGCTAAATGATGTCTAAGCTTTTTACGCGTCTCTTGCTCTTTTTTTTTTCTTCTCAATCGTTTAAACTATTTGAATGGTGACACGAATAGTATTTCGTCACAAAATAAAATACAATAGTAAAGTGACCAACAATAATAATCGTTTGTCGTTGTCGTCATTAAGCTTGTCGTATTCATTTGTGGATGTAACATAATGAAAGATTTTATCCTGTTTGTTTCTTTGTGATTTAATACCCAAAACACTTTTATATTTTTGAGCTTTTGAAACTTTTTATTGTTGATAATGAAACATAGTTCGATAAAGATGAATCATTTTAATTGTGATATACAACTTTATGTAGAGACCATACTGATGAAATCGATTATACAAATATAATCGTTTAAATTTACATTTTTTTTCTCGTTTTCTTGCTTATCTTAATAATGAGAAGTCAATAATTAACGCTTTTCGTTATTTTTCATCGATATACCTATGACTTCCACTCACTCTAGAAGACTTAGTCATTACTGACATCATAAGAAAGTTGATGACGCCATATATTACACTATCGCAAGCAAACCAAATCAATGATTGAACCTGTTCTCGTCTCTTTCTCTAGAGAAAGAGAGAGAGAGAGAGAAGAATAGAGAGAAATCCCATCTCTTTCTTTCTTTCTTTCTCATTTCTCATAACATATCATACACAAAAAAAAACATACATTTACACATTATTGTATAGTATTATCCATCGTGTTGTCATTTACCTATCTATCTATCTATCTTTCTATCAATCACAAATACACAATTGATTTTTCTAATAAAACAAATATGCAGTAAGTTCTGTTTTCGTTTTTATTTCATAGTATTTTTTAGTTTAATCTATCAAATGGGCGTATGCCTATTATTTACTAAAGAACGTATTCATTCGGTAGTTTTTTTTTTTCATTTCACACATCGTATTGCGTTCAGTTTGAAATGTAATCACATGTACTTCAATGATTCCTTTCTTTTAAACTTCTATGTATATTCGTCAACCGATAATTGATCTCTAAAGTATATATATACACAGCTTGATATTTCACGTTCACATCTCTTCTTATCGTTTCTGCTAAGGTGATCGCACATAATAGAATTTTAAACTACCTACCTATCGAACTACCTTGATCAATATGTCGCATCTAATTTGTTTCTTTTTTTTTTTTCATTTTCAAAATAGATTTTAATGCATTTTTATACATGATACAAACGATGAGAGATGTATGTGTCAAGGTTCTTCCTCACTGATTCGAAAATAATTTATGAACAAGACTATTCATATGACGGGTGATTGTACTGATAACAAAACGAATTCAATGACGCAAGTACGTGCCAAGATTCATAAAAGTCAAATCTCTCTATGATTAACCTTGAATAACTAAATCGCATGTTACTCATATTGCCACCAAATAATCATTATTCGTTTTTTATATAATTGCTTTTTTTTTCTTGACTATACACGAACAATCATCATTAGACTTGCATTTTCCTTCCCATCTTATTGTCTCTCGTTTTTTTTTCTTTCGTACTTCTTCATTTACTGCATTAATCAAAAGATCTCTCTTATCGTTGTCGTCTATTATCATCAATGTTGTCAACGAGCTTTTAACTTTGAAAACGAATGGACCATATGGGCGGTAGGAGACATAGACCCGAAGGCGGTCGATATGTGACGAATACCAGATAAAATTGACCTTTTACAATATATAGACAGTGAGAGAATATATAAGACGATTAGGAAGTACGATGGCAATCTGTTTTCTTTTGCATAAAATCAAGACAAAAAAAGAACTACTTGTCTTTTTATCCCGCCTTCGAGCATATATAATAAATACAAAGTAAGAGCTTAAATTCGTTAAAAAGGCCATGAACATATTATTGTATTCAAATGTATATTTATATTGGAAAAGAATAAAAAAAAATTTTTTTTTTCTTTGTTCGTCTTGAAATCAAATTATCGTTTATTTTTATTTTATTTTATTTTTTGATTATATTCATAATATGCTTTTTTTGTTCTTTTTTGACGTGCATACTTGCCTTCTTTTTTAAGGCATCCCGTATAGTATAATTCACTTTAATGATTATGCATTTCGCTGTCCGTCGTTTTTTTTTCTCAATTTTGGATTGAATAGTGACTATGATGATGATGATGATGATGCAATCGATTCTTTCTCTTTTGCGAATACACGCTTTTGGCCACAATGGCACAGCAGGCAGTATGTCATTCTACTACCTGTATATGTTTCTTGGAGTGGAGTTAAGTTCTTCTTTCTCTCGTAACATCTTATGAGAAATGATACATTCTATCAAGGGAAATAGTATGAGTTCAACATTGGGATTTGCACTGATTCCGGCTAATGTATCTCTTGTTGATGATGAACATAAAAATGAATGATATGTATGATATGAATAGTATATAATGATGTGTAACTAATATTTTGTTTTATTTTTTTTGGTAATAGTAAGAAAAAAAGAAGAAGTTTTATTGAGATTTGTTAAAATTAAGACAAAAAGTACTATATTGAATGATATGATTAGAGATGAACGAAAAGCAGAAGAGAGACAGAGAGCTGTCTTGTTAACCTTGCTGTTCGTATTAGTACTAAGACGAATTGAAATCGGACACTCGGCATGCGTATTCGAAAGTATGGACAAACAAGAAAAAGAAAATATAGAACGGTTCACCTTGACCCTGACATTTGCAGTTCTTCTTCATTTGTTGTAAAAGAGACAATTGATACTACTAATATTTGAAAACAAAAATTCCTTTTTTTTTTATACTTAAAGAAGAAAAAAAAAAGCGATTGACTAAATATCATTTGCTTGTCAGACGTCGCGACAATGATGATAATAGTTGTTCTATTGATCAGTATGCCACTACTTTTAATATAGAAATTGGACACGCCTTACGTTTAATTACAATGTCTCTATTCGTTTCTTTAGTATTTGTTTTTTGTTTTGTTTTGTTTAATTTCATATGCCAATATGTTGATTGGTAATTATAATATAAGTCTAGTCAAAATTTTCTTTTCATCTTTATTTAGATGATTAAATATATGAAAATTCGTACAAGATTGAAAATGATTTTAATGATTTATTTTATTTTTACTATCAAATCTATTGATGCTAGTACTCAAGGTATATATTAAATATTCTTTTTTAATAATTGTTTTTTGTGATAATTCCTATATTTATAGTATGTAATGGTCCATTAGGTATGATTAG